GTTGTGGAGCGCGCGCGGGGCAGCACCTTGGCGGGGGCGGCGGCGGCGGCGTCCCACTGGGGGTTGGGGCCCGCTGGGGCCGCGGCAGCCGAGCAGTCGGCGTCGTTGCTGGCGATCAGGGAGGCCCCGCGGATGACGAAGAGTCGCGCGTCGACCACAGAGTCCCGCCTGCTAAAAAGGCTTGGGAGGTGCGGCATCGTTTGGGCCTGCGGCGCGCGGGCGGGGCGGAGGATCGGCGGTGAGAAACGGGGCGTTTGTGAGGTTGTCCATCTGGGGCGTGTTGGGCGCGGCGGCGCTAGAGGCCCGGGTGCAAGTGATGGAGATGCAGATATACATTTGGGCCATTCTCACCTTGCAGCCGGGATAGGTAGCGGCGAGGCGTTGACGACGGGGAGTCGGAAGAACTTTCACTTTGTCACTTTGAGCGCAAGAAGATTGTTGGGTGCGCTGTAGAGCACTTCGCTGCTCGCTACAAATACGAGCCCGATATATATCGTTTACAAGAGAAGCGCGGGACATTCATGGCAATGGGTGAGACCCAAACGTGATCCGGTAGTGTGACGCTGGACGCCCTGCCGGGCAGTCGAGTGCGCCAGTGAGACAGGGGGTCGGGGCGTGGGCCGCTTTGCAGGCAAAGCGACAATCCACCCCACCTTGAAGTTTGCTCTGTCAAGGAAGTTCAAAAGGCACCTAAAGAGTCAGAGAAGTCTTATAACGGGGCCCTGGGATGCAAAGGGGGGGGCGGGGCAGGCCCGCGTCATGCTCATCCAGGGAGACCCACCCCGGCTGATTTGGTGCCACGCGTCAAATGCTCAAACCCCCACCCACCCACGCTTTGTCAAGCCCTCCCCAGCGATATTGGCGCCTCATGCGTGATAGGCACCTTGATAACAAGCCCTTCCCCAACCAGCCATTGCAGTGGGTTGAAACCAAGCTGGGCCCCCCTCAGCCAGCGGTGCCACCAGGTTCAGTCCGTTTGATGCTGGCTCGCCCGCAGCCGCCCGAACCCACCAACACCCCAAGCCCCCAATATGTCACTCTCAACGTTACCGTTTACTGGACCTTGGGGAAGCAGCCGGCAAACACAATCCATCAGGAATCTTGGGGTGTGCCATGTACACATCAAATAGGCGACAAAGCCGGCCCAGTTTCGCCGTTAAGAGGCGATGCAGCTGCTGCTGGCATCACCACCACCACCACCACCACCACCATCAGCAGCAGCAGCAGCATCAGCAGCAGCGGTACAACCCGCGCGCGTGCTTTAGATGCCCGCAGCCCAGAAACAAGGTGAAAGAGCGCATTGCGTTCTGGGGCCACCGACTGGCAAGGCGCAAGCAAGGTGGCGTGTTGGCGAACCGCAAATGGCAACTCTGGCGGACGGCTTGGTTCAAGGCGCAGCGCCTGCGCCCACCGCCGCGCCTGCTCTCCTGCAGGCGCACGCACGCGTGCAAAGGCAAGGCGAACTGCGTTGCCGCCCGCCGCGCCTGCAGACTCCACAGCAGCCGCCAGCGGGCCCTCCGCCACTGCCCTCCCTGGCGCCGCCCGCTGCAGAAGCGCGCCGCGCCGCAGCGCAGCGCCTGGGCCGGCGGCACCGCGCCGCGCCGCAGCGCAGCGCCTAGGCCGGCGGCACCGCGCCGCGCCGCAGCGCGGCGCCTGGGCTGGCGGCGCCGCGCCGCGCGGCCGGCCAGCCGGCAGACGGGCGGGCGCCTCTCACGTGTCGAGGAAGTTTGCCGCCATCAGCAGTTCAAGAGCCGCCTCTGGGGGCACCTTGAACTCTGGGATGTTGCGCGTGGTGCTGCGGGGCCCCCACATTCGACAGCCGAGGGCGGAGATTGAGAGGACGGGCGTGAGTGTTTACGGTTTCGCAGGACGGGCGCGCGGCGCGGGGGCACGAGACGCAGCGGGAGCCGCCGTGCGCCGCAGCCGCGGGGGCTGCGGGGCCGCGGGGCCGCGACGCGGGGCTGTGCCCGGCGGATGCTGCCGCCTGCGGCTGCCGCGGCGCCCGCCCTCGCGGGACCGGCTGTGGGGCGGCCCCAGGTGCAGCTGCAGCACCCCCACCTCCCCCACCC